AACTTGCATGAGGTCGGCCTCGGAGCCTGGTCCATCCTAGCGTCCCATTCCCAGATGACTTTCAAAGAAAAGGATAAGGATCCTGTCGACTTTGATTTTATCAGGGTGCCTGTTGCTTTACCTAACAAACAGGCTGCCACTATGTGGCCCGCACTCTGTGCTGGTGAAGGCGGCCTCTGGCCTGGTTTGTCAGATGTCCGCGCAAAGCTGCGAGCGGTCCTGGTGACCTGCGATGCCGCGCCAGCAAACCTCAAGTTACTGGGGCACCTTACGTCAGTGGTGGACGCCAAGACCCTGGTGTTGCCTTTCCTTTGTTTGCAACACAGAACTGGCAACGTCATCGAGCGGGCGACCAAATTGCTTGGGACCCTGACTGGTTCTTATGCAGTTGCCAAGACCTTGAGGTCAGGAGCAGTGGTCCGCAAGCTCACTGCCAATGTGCGAAGCATCCTGGCCCAAAAGCTTGTGGTGGTGGACCAGGTTCCACCAGGCCTGGAGGGGGAATGGGCCACTGGCCGGGTCGTCGCCAAGAAGATTTTGGAATTGGCTCTTGGATGCGACGACGAGAATGACCAGGCTGGCATTGGTAAGGAGTTCCTCCAGTTCTTTGGTGGCCCATGGACAGGACCAGGGTTTTGTGTTTTTTTTACACTTCTTGTTTGTTTCGGCATGTCCAATCTGGCCTTTGGCCTGGTCATTGGTTGCTCCCTGTAGCCGTTTTGCTGCTCAAAGACAAGGCCCGCCAGTTGCAAAAGCCAGGGCCATGTCGGACGACAAGTCGTTCCTTGAAGCTGTGAGGAGCGAAGGTCTCCAAGCAGCCTTCCACCTGCATGACGCCAGGTTTGACACTTGCAGGGGCCTTTGGCCGGGTCCTAGCATGGTCACAGACCAGGTCTTGAAGTCGAGACTTCAGGCAATGTCCTCTGTCCTGGTGTCCGACACCTACGGCTCAGTGGATGTGGTTGCTTGGGCTCGGGAGGCCTACAACTCAAGGCCAGCGAGTATTGAAAGGTAAACTAGACAGACTATACTATCTTAGGTTAACTAGACAGACTCAAACTAGACGGTGTTTGTTTGTCAAACAACTGATAGATCAACTAGGTGGGCTATTGGTGGGTTACTGTCATTGTTTCCAGAAGCTGCACCAGGCACCCAATGCATGTCATCCTGGACATGTCAGCGTCCTCCCCAGAATGCTTTGGGAAACTCTGGCTGGGTGGAGAACACGCCTCTGGCGATGTCCACATGTTGCAGAGCCATTGCATCACCATAGTGCTCCCAGCAAGCAGGAAGCCTGCGCCAGCTGAGTCGCTCAACATCAAGGTACTTGATTACGTGGATGGTACTGCTCTCGCCGCAGGCGATGTGAGGCTGGAAGATTTTCTGGCAGTGGCTGACAAGGTCATCGACTACCTCCAGAAAGGGCATGGAATTTTGGTCTGCTGCAAGAATGGGGCGCATAGGAGTGCGACGCTGACCGTCCTCTTGGTGATGAGACTCACCGGGTGGGATGCCATGAGGGCATTCAACTATGTGTCGCAATTGAGGAACATCGTGGACTTGACTTCTGTGGCTCCTCCATCGGCCCACAGACGACACCAGCCCAGACCCATTGAGTTTTTGCAGTCGCAGGAAGACAGGATCATAGCCAATGCCTTCGACCTAGCTGGGAACTTGGTGGTGACCCCCATCAGCTATCGGAAGAAGGCCGCTGAGCTGGGCTTTGAAACCATCGGTTCCAGAGCAAAAAGCATGCCTGGTCCAAAGAAAGTGCCAGGCCAATGCTCTGGGTGGTCATCATATGAGATGGTCGAGCCTGGTCACTCGACCGTGTCAAGTCATGAAATGAGCTCACTGAGCCAGTCAGAGTCGCAGGACACTTCGTCAGGGTCCATCAAGCGAGCACGCTTGGACGAGTAAGGGGGTTGCGGATTTTTTCGTGGTGAGCGACGACCTCAAGACACCAGCAGCCAGGGCTCAGAAGCTGAAGGACCTGTGCTCTGAACTGGAAGCATTGGACGCCAAGCTCCTGAGCGCTGTGACCTCTGGCCAGACCTGCCCCAAAAAGCCTGAGCCTGAGCCTCACTCTTCTGCAGCGGCACAGCCGGCGACACAGGAACCAGCTGAGGCCGAGCCAAACGAGGCCATGCCACAGAGGCCGCACGAAGAGGGCAGCGAGGCCACAGAGCCAGCGGCACAGGGACTTAGCGCAGAAGTCAAGGCCGAACCCCAAGACCGTGCCTTGACTGCGCAAAACAGGGCCGCAGCGTTTGCATGTTACACAGGGAATCATAGATCAGGGGCTTTTGCTTACATGGTTCGTGAACTGATGGGTATCTTGCATCTTCTTAGTACTGATTTGTAATTTCTTTTTTCAATTCTAAACGGTCTGAACGCGAGCAATCTAGACTTACACTTTAGGTAGCGTGTTTGCAGTGGCCACAATCAGGCGGCAACGACATGGACGTTGACTATGACCCCGACGACAAGGAGGACGAGGCGAATGAGCCTCCAGCAACTGAGGCCAAACCAGTTGACTTTGCTTCCCTGGCAGCAAAGCAGGAAAGTGAGGTGCGGGAAGAGGTCATGGACCGTGTTTTGGCTCTCTTGGAGCAACAAAAGGTCCAGCGCCAAGCGATGATGGCCCGCCAGGAGGAGGAGCAGCTTCGTGCTAACTGGCAAGACGAAGCGTTCAGGGCGGTGCTTGGAGCAGATCCTCTCAAGGCTTTGCCTTTGTTGGATGAAGCGAATTCAGCCACAATTCTCCAGATGGTGGACGGGAATGGGCTCAACTTGCTCCACAACGCCGTTCGTGTCATGTGCTGGCCGGTCGTCCAGCGACTGATCAACCTCAATCCAGCTGTGGTCGACCAGCTCACCAGTCCACAAGCACGACCAGCGCACTGGAGTGCCCTCATGGTCCTGGTGGATACAAATGCGGTCGGTGACCAGGAAGCATACGGAGCCATTTTGACTATGCTCCTGGAGGCCATGAGCTTGGCCACCTTGGAGGCAAGGGCAGCCAACGGCAATACAGTGTTGCATTTGGCAGCGGGGCAGGGCAATTTCTGGACAATGAGGAAGATCGTGTGGGAGATATACCACAAAGCAAGCGGCAACCAAGCGGCCTTTGGCCTGGTGAGTTCTTTGCTCAACTTGCCTGATCGAAAAGGCGCTGGCTGTGTGACTTGGAAGAACTATTGTAACTTTTTGAGTATTTTTGGTTTCATATTGCCTTGGTAAAGTTCTTGAAGTAGAGACTCTGAAGACTTACTTGTGTTCCATTGTGTTCTATGGTGTTTCCATGTCAGGGTAAAACTTTGGCAGGTGGACCTTGCCCTTCGCTGCAACATGAATTTGGCCAACTGGCTGCAGAGGCAGTGGAACGCCAAGGCCTTGTTGCCACCGCCTCCTCGCCGTGATGATTGGTATAGTGGCCAGTCTCGCTACTACTGGCGATGATGTGTTTTGGCCACTGGCCTGGTTCTCCAGGCTCTTCTTGGCGGCAACTTGGCGGCGTGCTTTGGCCACTGGCCTGGTTTGCCAGGCTGTCCTGTGTGCTTTTGCCACTAGCCTTTTGCCATGTTTTTTGGAAAGCATCTGCCGTTGGAGTGGCCTTGTAAGTGGCCAGCCCGTTTTGCAGATCTGTACAACAGGGTCTTCCAGACAACCCTCGCTGAAAAAGATGCGATATTGCCTCACAGCTTCCAGCTTACTAGGGCCCAAGCTAGAGAGATAACAAATAAATCACAGCTCTAACTGCTGACAGGAAGTCAAACTGAAAACATTGAAAACGCCATGAAGTGAGGGTCTACCAACTTACACCAAACCAGCTTGTTTGCTGAACCTCTGTCCCTGACAGGAGTGCCCACACATGTTTGTCAAGGATGCTGCAGCAGCGCTGAGCAGAGCTTAGACACGGCCACTGGCCTGGTTCAACGTCTCTTTTTGGGTACTATCAGCGTGCCTGCCCTAAACAAATGGACCACAGT